GAGACACTACCAGTGTCTCCAGATGCGTCTATAGACATACTTTAGACGGTCTAATAGACGTCTATCCGATCTCGCGTTTCTCCCTGGGCAGATAATCATTTAAATTTTTAAAGGTTTACATTTTTCAGGATACACTCTATATGTATGTTCACTTTGAACTAGCACCTTTGATAATATATCAAATACTTGTTATGGTAATATATTATCAGATAATCATTTAAATTTTTAAAGGTTACATTTTTGAGGATACACTTGATATACGTTCACTTTGAACTGGCACCTTTAATAATATATCAGTTACTTGTCATGGTAATATATGTATATTGTGAAACAATATATTATCAGATAAAAGTTTAATTTTTAAAGGTTTACATTTTTGAGAATACGCTTTATTTAAACTGGCACCTTTGATAACACATCAGTTACTTGTCATGGTAATATATGTATATTGTGAAACAATATATTATCAGATAAAAGTTTAATTTTTAAAGGTTTACATTTTTGAGAATACGCTTTATGTATGTTCACTTTGAACTGAGACTTTGAATAATATATCAGTTACTTTTCATAATAATATATATTGTTACATAATTATTTCAATTATTAAAGGTTTACATTTTTGAAGATCTGCTTACATTTTTGAACATTCTTCTTATACGTAGTACACATCTTATATATTGCTTAATATATGAAATATATTAAATAAACAAGCCTGTAATTTCATGCAATATATAAACATAAAAACACTATTTTGGTTATCATATAATAAAAATTATAATATCTTGAAAATAACATGTACCTATAATTTTATTATATGTTACAAAGTTTCAAGTAGTAAATTACATATATACTTACTGTAATTAATGTATGCATTTACTATGACAATCTTACGTAAATGTATACATGTACTAAAATTTACACTTTGTGACATATGTATATAAGTAATTATTTTTAAAGAAAGTTTAAATTTAAAATTCAATGTTTACTTTGTGCAATATTTATACTTATTATAAAACAAACATAAAATGTGTAATTATTGCACAATAATTATTACATTATGAAATTAAAATGTAAGAAGTTATTTTTAATTAAAGTTCAAATTAAAGCTTCAATATTGCACATTTTAAATTATTTCTTTAAATTAAAAAAAAATATGATTTTTACGATAATAGCTTTAAAAATCGCTTTAATAATAGCTTTAAAAAAATATGATTTTTAAGATAATAGCTTTAAAAATCGTTTAATTTCTTTTTTTGCGTATGTAACTATATTCTCATTTGTGGAACTGTTCTCTTAGCCAGACATGGAGAATTAAATATAAGATCCTGCATTTCCTTTCCAGTTATTGTTACATCAGATCGTAATGGTTCTTCAAATTTTTCTAATACAATTCTTTTCTCCTCTTCTGTCCAAGTTGTCCGTTTAACAGGTACCACAAATACTTCTATTCATAATAAAAATTAAATATTACACAAATTATATGTATACATAAACCGAGAGAGATCTGATTGTGCACAAACGTATTCTCATTAATACATTAATAGTACAGCAGAACTCGGATTATTCGACTGGAATAAATCGCGCATAACGCCAATGTCATGAGAACCACGTCATAACAATAAGATCGGATTATCCGGAAAATGAAAAAAAACGATGTCGGGTAATTTTACTGTATACTAGAAAATTATTAGTAGATGTGATTGGATCTGTGATGGCATGATGTGGACTAATGGGACTTTCTCATAAATTAAGTTTATTTTGTGTTGAGTTACCATTAGAACAATGATATTTTATTAAAACTGCCAAAGAAACCGATTTTGGTAATTTTTTTTCTATTAATAATAAGTTATTTTTATATTATTTGTAGGAAAAACCAGGGCCTGTTGTCGTTCTTGATTAGTGATTTAAAAAAAAAGTAGATGCCTGATTTTAAAATATTATTTTCGTTATAATATACCTCTACCATTTAGGTAAATTAAGAAAATATTACTCTTGAATTCACTGTATCGTACAATAAATTAATTTTAAATAAAACTGCGATAATATGACAATTAACCTTATGTTCTGGGTTGATTGTCACACGTTCCAGTATTGGCAGAAGCATATTTATTATGGACAGCACACAAAAAATATTTTTATTTTAATGTCAGTTCTATATTTCGAGAAATAATATTAAATAAGTATAAATATTAATATAAATAAAATAGTTATTTTAATCACAAAATACGTAATTTGTTTTTGTAATGTAATTTCTATATGAAAAATGAAAAAAAAACATATATATACATATATGTATATGAAATGTTATATATATATATATAGGTATTTGTGAGAGTATATTTTCTAAAAATGTGTCGATCTAAAGATTTTAAAATTAATTGTCACCTAACTCCGTCTCAATCTACCCCATAACCATTTTCAATAAAAGAAGTTGTATTTACAAACTTTGTCAGGATTAATTAATTATGGTAAAAATTTTCTAAGTACTGTTATTTTCTATACAAGGATATTGCGATTAATGCCACAGATTTATTAGACAACAGAGAGAGAGAGAATAGGTAATAAGAAAAATTTACTTACCAATTTCATTTTCTTAAAAATTGTTGTAAATAATATATACAATGCTTTTGGTGCAAACTAGTTTACATAACAAGTTAACCCCTTAACTGCGGATGACGAAGATCTTCGTCATTTCGGACTTTGCTCAAAAGACTGCGGCAAAAACGTCAATCTTCGTCATGACATAAATTCGACTAACGAAGTCAATAATTTGTTTAAAATTCAAACAAAAACGGTTTCAGGTATTTGAAGGTATGCAGATTAAAATGCCTTTGCCCGTTTTCATAATCATTGTGCCAAAAAAATGTTAGACGTCCTTAAAAATTGCAATTTTGAGAATTTTTTCAGAATCTTCGTCAAGAAGTATGGCATTTTATTCAAACAATTTATGTATGAAAAAAATTATAAAACATTTTGAAACTTGTTACTCAGGGGTTTTTTGGGTCGCTGATTACGAATCTGAAGTCAGTTTTGACAAATTCAAAATGGCGGATCCAATATGGCGGACACATTTTGCGAAAATGTTACCATTTTGCACGAAACTTGTTACTCGGAGGTTTTTTGGGTCGCTCATTATGAACCCGGAGTCAGTTTTGAAAAGTTTAAAATGGCGGTTCCAATATGGCCTACTAGATTTCCTAAAATTACTCGGTTGTGTTTGAATTTTATTACTCGACAGTTTTCGAGGTCCATGACACAACGGATATTTGGCTTCTCAAATACGGGCAACTCGTCATCGAATGTCCGCCATATTGGTTCCGAAGTTTGAATTTTTCAAAACTGACATCAGATTCGTAATCAGCGATCCAAAAAAACCCCGAGTAACAAGTTTCATGCAAAATGGCAACATTTTTGCAAAATGTGTCCGCCATATTGGATCTGCCATTTTGAATTTGTCAAAACTGACTTCAGATTCGTAATCAGCGACCCAAAAAACCTTTATGCACCAAGTTTCGTCAAAATCCAACAACTTTTTATTTTCCGCAGTCTGGATACATTCTATGAAATTACAGCCGCAGCTAAGGGGTTAATATTGTATTAGCAATCTATATTTAAAAAATGAGATTTTTTTATCATGTACTAATTGAGTTATAAGCATTTTAATAATCAACCCCGTACGACAACCAGCCCCGGTCTTCCCTATTATTAGAACTCTATTTGTATTATACTTACATATTTTCAATATTCTGTATCTAATACAAGAAAGGAAAATTGATTATCAGATCTAAAGTGGCACCATCAGCGATTCTAGTGTCAATATCAAATAACTATTGGCTTCTTGATAGAATATACACAGTAAATTACATCCTTACCTTCTGATCTGCGTTTCTTTTTTACAGCTTTTATTTCAGTCTTTGTACGTTTTTTATACGTTGGGGTTGATAATGAGCCTGTGTTAAAAATATGTTATATAAAATCAGAAACAAGGAATCTATATATTTCAAAAATAAGTTTTCTACTCACTATCACTCGATTGTTGCAAATAATCAATTTTATTAAATGTTTTATTAGCTGTGATTTCTATGCTGTTATCAATTTCATTCTCACTGTCGCTTTCCTCAATTAAATTGTTTGCTGCATCTCTTACGCCTTGTGCAGCCTCTAGAAGCTGTGATACTTCTGTAATATCTTTAACTATTCTGTATATTTCCATATGTATTTTCTCATGGCGCCCCATGAAATGAGCCAGATCAGTAATCTGATTGTCTGTTAAATTAAGAGTAATTCCCATTGTGGCTATGTTTTCTGAGTGTAGTACCACGTAATGTATCAGGAAATTCGGTTCCGCTCTCTTTAGCAAAATCCAACATGACTCGATACGCCTTTAAATATTTATCAATAGCTTTATCATGTCCTGGAATACCAAATAAGTAAGGATTTTCCGGGTGTACTTTAGCTTTATTTCTAAACTGTAAAAACATTTGTACACATTCTAAATTAATTTCATCTAATATTATAGGAACAGTTCTTCCTAGCTTTCCTCGTAAACAAAATCGTACATATTTTTGTGCTAGATCTCTTTTATCTTCAGATAATTTATTGAAAGTTTCGATACTTTCATTAATTCTCTCATGAGTTTTAAAATCAGAAATTAATATTCGTTCTGTTTCTCCTGACCGGCGGCGATTAAATAATTGCATTGATATTAAAGTAGCTTTTCCAAGAGACATCCAAGCAGATAATGAAAATTTCTTTTTTAAACTATTGTACGATGTTCTTTGCACTTCTAGTAAATGATTCCGTAATATTTTTATGTCTTCCATTGTAGGCAGTTTTGTAATCTTATGTCTTTTAAATTGAGTTTGAGATTCGATTACAGTTTTATTAACACTTGCTCCATAATCAACTGTTAATAGTTTTAAAAAGTTTTCTGTATTTTTTTTCGTAGCGTCGTTATGATTTTTTATACATTCCATTATTAAAATTTCACCAATATTCTTTACGTAAGTTCCAAGATTAGATGCATTGGCAGGTTTTTCATAGACATCCTTTTCTTTGTTATATTTTGCAACAATATTTACGGTATCTAAAAAAGTATCGTAATATTTTGGATCGTACATAGAAGTCAAAGATGTTATATCATTAATATTTCTCATCTCTGTCAATAGGCGACTTACAAGCCGCAATCGAGCTCGAATCATTGGTAAATGATGCGATGAGTGTCTATATTTTTTACTTAGGGAATTCGCAAATATTATTAATAAACTATCGTAACGAATATTGCGAGTTAGGTCATCATTTCTCATTGCTGGTAATACTATAATCGCCGTACTCTCTCACTATAGCTTCTTTGAGACATTTGCCTTCTTACCTTCTACCCATTACTTTAACGACGCGACTGTTCTGTCCTGACCGACCCGTACATTTTCTGAAATGATGCCTCAGTGTTGATTTTAAATAATGACCCTTACAATTTCCACATGCTAGATAATTTTTAAGAATCTTAAGTTTATTTTCTCTTGCTCGTCTACATGGAATAAAACTTTGCCCTTCGTATTGCTTTTTAATGTTAAATTCGAAACTTCCTTTTTTTCTTAAAGTATCGATGATTTTTCTTCTTTCGTTACAACCTTTAGGTAAATATTTGAACTTTCGAACATCATCTTCCTCAGAATGAACTAATTCCAAATGTCGGACAATCTTTGCTTGCATTTTGTGACAGAATATACACATATATTTTTTTATGCCTGCATGTTTCGTAGGTATTACTGTTTGTTCATTTTGTCGAGTTTCACATCCTCCAACATTGTTAACATCCAAGCCTGTAGATATTATTGTATCATTTTGTATGTTAGAAAGGGGTTCTTTATATTTGCTGTTATCTTCATGTTCTGATTTTTCTGTTTCTTCAGAGTTACTCGTAGCTGACGAGTATTTACTTTGTATATAATCAGAACTATTTTTAATAATGTTTTCTATTCACAAAAAGAATATTATTAAATAATAAGTATAAGCACTATAAAATAGATTGTATAAAAATTAATCATAAAAATTAAAATATAATTTTAAAATAATATAGTTTGAATACTTTGTATTTTAGTATCATCCTCTTGCGCAAAGTACAAGTCGTTTACATTATATGTTTCAATTTCTGGCAATTGGTACAAAGTTGAAGGAGACTGTTCTTTGCTGTTATCATTTAATATTGTCTCAAAAGGTACGTCTGATATAATAAGTAACTAATTAATATAGTCAATTTAAATAGCTAATTAGCAATTAACAATAAATAAATAATAACTGACATAAATAAAACAAATAAATAATTATACAAAAATAATCGCAAATGTAAAACTTAATAGTTTTATTTACAAAGTTAAAAGGTTACTACCTGTATTTAATAAATCAGAAAATTGACTTAAATTCGAAACATTGCAATCAAGTATCTCCTTCTCGAATATACTGGTTACTATTGATGAAAGACTAAGATCATTAATTTCGATCCTTGAATTTGTATCATTAATATTAAGCACATCTGTGTTTGTATTATCATCTGAAATAGGAAAGGTATTACATACATTAACGAAGTTATACTATACTATAACCAAAACTTATTTTACATGTTAATTGATACTGTAATTAAATAAAAATTACAATAAACAAAAATAGATTAACACGTTAATGAAATCAAATTTATGACATAAAGCTCGTATTTAGAACACATTTTTAATGAAATAAGTGCTTTTTGAATATAGGCTTAAATGCCAAAGGACACGTAAAACTTAGTATCAATTTAAACGAATCTATTTACACTTTTTTGTTAAAACCATGATGTAAAGAGAAAAGTGTAACATTGAGCATAATGGCGACAGCAATACTGGAAATAATCAATTAAATTTTCCCAGAAGTGAATTTTCCTGCATATAATAGCATACTGAAACAGCCAATCAAATTTGATTCGAAGTTCACTCTCTTACTGCGCTTTCACAGGAAAGATTCATCTTTCCTTTTACATCATGTATTACGTTTTACACGACCCAATTTATACTAAAATTATAACATCAGTATTATAACTATCTGGTGTTAGATGTCGGGTTAACACTATTTTATACCTGTAATTATTACATCAATATAGTAACTTTGTTGTAAAGTAGCATTTTATACACAGCATCTAACATCAATAGTTATAACATCGATGTTTATAACTTCGGCATTGAAATTGGACCGTGTAAATGTAGCAATGTGATTAAAACATGAAGCATTAGATTAATACTAATAATATGTATTAAATCATATACATATACAGCAAACCTTTAATATCAGTGCATGCTGGTGTTTGTATAACGAATTTAGTATGTATCGTTTCAATATTAGTAATCCTACATCTAAAAATAAAAATGTTTAATGTATATTTTTATGCAAGAATACAAAAATAACTATTTTAAAATACCTACTTATTTGTTGCCATTACCGTTATTGGATCTTCTTTTTCTTGATAATTGCCGCCTCGACAATGTAAATTACAAATTTCACTCTAAATTAAATTATTAGTATATTTCAGAATATTTTATACAAAATGATTAAAAAAGAAGATCAATATTCTGGGAGATGATAGAATCAGTTATTTTAAGCAAAAAATATTTATAAACATTCTACTCCAAACGGTTTTCGAGATAATTTTAATTTAATACGCAATAATGCCATTGCACCTGTTAATTACTATATGAATTTGTTGCTAATATTGTAGCTGCATTTCGTTATTCATTTCGAATATTGACGAAAACCTATAGCATACGTAACATGAACTTCAGATTTGCATTATTCGCAGTGAATAATGGAACTCAGCCACTGTTGACTATTGTGTAACGTTGTATACTTCATCCAACGAAAAAATATCCATTGCCTGCGCATAGAGTTCAAGCCATAAATATTCTTTGGTTGAACAGAATATTCTAAGGAGAACATAAGAGTCATACAGTTTATTCGCGCCGCATGCTCCAGCATGCTTCAATGTGCTCCTGTTTAGCTTTTACTTACTTTAACAACCGCGTTAGGCCGGAATCAGACTACGCATTGAAGAATGAGATTGAAGATTGAAAGATTGAAGTTTGACCAATCAGAACAAAAGGAACCAAAACTTCTTTGTCCTCATTGGTGAAATTTCAATCTTTAATATCAATCTTCAATGCATAGTCTGATTCCGGCTTCAGAGTAAGTAAATGCTGTAGTAGAAGCATTTAAAGCACGCGAACAAACCTATAATAATATCGTAAGAAGATCATCATGACCTCATTTGTCATTTATAAGTTCATTTTTAAGTATCAAATGATATTATGATGGCATTCTGCGATATCATCATGAATTCTTTATCACCTACCAAAATATTGACCTCTTTAATTATCTCGTGTAAGACAATACAAAATTACACAAAAAAATTTAACTTAATAAAATAAAATGGAAATTATATCCAAAAATGGAAATAATTATTGTTTTAAGAATGTCCTTTCCATCAAAGATATAAATTAGTAAATAATGGGTGCTTTCCAATTGACAATACAAGTCGATACAAATGTCGTTCTATCTTTGTTACTCTCTAAATGTCAAGAAAGATAGAACGACACTTGTGTCAACTTATGTCATCAATTGGAAAGCACCCAATTATAAATCTAATGTATAGTTCACTTGGCATTAAAAATATTTCGAAACATTTGACTAAACACACAACACACACACATAATTAGAACAAAAAATTTTAATAATTAACCAACCTGCAAATGCTTCGAAGCATTTGTAGTGTTAAGTTAACTGTAGTGCAATGAATGAACACAATAAACAATATTATATTTAAAATTAATCTTTTCCATAGATCTTCTTTTTATAAAATATGTGACGAATTGTATTTTTGGAAATATAAATACTAATATTTATTTACATATGTAAATGATGTTGTAATTTTAAACAGTTACAGATTTAAAAGAGATTTATTTCATGTTTGAATAATTACTATGTTAATAATAACCTTATTTTTAACTTTACTATTTTCCTTAAAGTTATATTTTAAAAATAATTTTATTCTTCTGTAATACAGTTTTATCTTCACAAACAGTATTTTTCAAGCCAACTTTTTGTTTACTTTTGAGGATTTGACAGCAAAGACACTTACCATTATTTGTATTAATCTGTTGCATTACTTTAATATTTTCCTCTTTATTATGAATGTCGTAACGCGTTAGTATAATTCGCGGCATCATACCTTGAAATGATAAAGTACAAATATAAATTATGTTTTTCCGTACACAAAATCTTAATGTGTTCTTTACAAATAAAATGTTTTAAATAAAAACATACATACAAAATACAATATAACACAATATCCAAGATATATTTACTGGTTGATCTCAATATGTTTTGCTCTTCTTTCGTTTTTCGGTTATCACGTTTCCTTAACGAATACATTTTAATTAAGTATTCAAAAGATTTATTTTTGTACAACTTAATTATCACTAATCTCCTTATTGTCAACAATCCTATCATTGAAAACTATAAAAGTATAGATAAAATCTCGGATAAAATTACAGCATAAGCAGGAATAGTATCAGAATGGCGCTAAATTTTTGTTCGAGTCGCATGTTCCAACATGCTTCAACATGCTTCTGCCATGGTCGATAGGGACGAGAGAGAGGGACCTTGGCAGACGGCCATTTCTATCTTTTTCCATCCAATGGTGTAATGGGAGAGAGAATGAGAGGGAGATTGGCCGTCTTCCACGATCTCTCTCTTTCATTATTGTCGACCACATTTGATACACTTATTAGGCCGGTATTAATAGTTGAGTCTTATTTCAAGACCGTCTTAAGTAATGTCTTAAGACTCTAATGCAGCCTTCTGATTGGTTCGTGACTCCTTAAGACCGTACTTAAGACGGTCTTGAATATAAGATCTGACTATGAATACCGGCCTTAGATACGAATCGCGAAGTCCATTCTCTATGGCCGGTATTCATATAGCGTTTTCGGCCCGGCCAGGTTTGCACCAACCTGGGTTGGATTAATAGCGTTTTGTGCTCTCCTATTGGTAGAGCGGGTGACGTCAACCAATAGGAAAGATTAATCCAACCCAGGTTGGTGCAAACCCGATCGGGCCG